TGGCTCTATTTTCCTAAGAGCTGAATTCCTATTGGCTTCCAAACAACTAATCAGATTTCGAGGCGAATGGACTTCAGATTCGAACTCATCGCCTCAAAAAACCCTGTGCCCCATCATTTCCTTCAAAGTATATGTGTTTGGCTCTATTTTTTTAAGAGCTGAATTCCTATTGGTTTCCAAACAACCAATTAGATTTGGAGGGAAATCTATCCCAGATTCGAACTCAGCGCCCTCGAAAACCTCTAGTTCCATGTTTCCTATGTGTTCATGAAGTGGAACTCAGTTATAGTTCTATAGTACCGAATGTTGCAACCCTATTGGTCGGTTTCATAGATCGCCTGTAGCATGTGTAGGATTCGTTTTTTTTCGGAAAAAAATACATGTCGACCTTCCCCTGGGTGTAAAGACCATTTCTGGAAAGTTTGATAGTATTTGCTCGTACGGTCTTCAAATGCATAGCGAACAGACAAACAAACAAACAAACATTCTTCTTTATATATATAGATATATGTACAATGGCAGAGAATTCATTTTTATTTATATTCAAATATTAAAGAATTAGATGAATATCAATCAACCTAATAGAGTTGATTGATAAAAAAAAAACGAACAATTATTTTTCTTATCACAGAAAACAAAAGCATTGTTTTGACTCATGTAACCGATCGAACTATATTCGTTGTTTCTTTAAATAAAAATAGACAAAGTTTTTTTATTACTTACAATAAACAAAAATTGTGCGTTTTCTTTTTTTGCAAGCATCAAATCGAAATTTAAAATTTTTTCAATTCAATTTCACAATTTTCTTTCATTAAAACTATCAAAATAGAAAACGATTTTTATTTTCAAATTTTATATTTTCGAAATTTTTAAAATTTCACTGATAACAAATTTATTTTTAGCTAACTGCAGTTTATGAAGTTCATTAACATATTAAGTTTTCCTATTTCTATCTAATGATCTGTTATTTGTAGAATGTCCTACAGTATTAATTTTCTTTTTCTTTTTAATTAATTTCAATTTATAGAACCCACTAGCGATAATTTCTACTATGAATGTCATGAATTTTTTCTTGCATTTGAATAAACTATTTAATTATCATTTTAACATGGAATCAAACATCACATGAATACAAACTAGTTAAAGTGTACGAGCATTTATATACAAAAAACAAAACTAAAAAATACTACGTTCAATAAAAAAAAAAATAAAAGGACTTTGAACTGCGACGATTGGTGACTGCCTTCTCTTCACCTACACCCTCGGTATGTACTTTCATTCAACAAATCTTTGAAAGTTAACTATCAAATTTAGATCAGCCGAAAATTTAAAACAATTTTATTTTACTTAAACTTAATCTTTTTCATGTTCGCAAATAAGATAGTAGCCGAAATATTGCTCCTATCACGTTTAAAGCTCAAATTATAATTATACAATCGATTTCTACAAAGATTATGAAAAACGAAATCCTTGTACATTCAATGATAATTTCATCTTTCAGATCGATCAGTTAGAAATTTGTTAAACTGATAAGCGATATTTAGTAAAATATGATGGAATAAAAACAACAAACAATACACATTTCAATAATTCTCAATTATAAAAATTTTTATTTATAGTTCTTCATCTTTCATAAACTATGAATTATTTATTTACTTATTCAATAATTCATCTTAGACAGAATCTAAATATATATTTCGGCGGTTTTTCTTTTATCTCGTGTCACACTTCATTATATCATTCACACAGAAGCTAATTTTAGCTGAACAAGTAGAAAAATAGTGCAGAATACTTTAACAACGCTAAGTATTATTTTTCTTATTTTAACAGTGTAGGATCTTTCAATCATGCTGATTGTTAATGACGTGTGTGGGAAGTATATTCATTGATTAGTATACATTAATGTAATATTAATTAGTTATTATAATTTTTTCTTCGACTGACATGTACGTGTAAGATAGAAAAGAAAAGATTTTCTTTTTGATGTAAAGAAGAAAAATAAAATTCAGCATTGTAATTATTTTGCCGAGTTCATTAGAAGTAAATAGTATTCGAATTTTTTTGATAAGCTTTAAAAAAAAATGATATAGCATCTAATATTTATTGAATCAAAAACTTATAGCAACTATCATGATTAATTCCTATTGAGTCTCTATGAATTCTAATTTTTTATGAGATAAACAATCGTTCCTTCTCGTGATCATTTTATTGAATTATAATAATCATTCGATTTCGTTTTTATAAGCTTCTCAGTCACAAATAGCAGATGGAATTCTTTTTTTTTTCTTTTATGATTTTCTTCATTGTGTGAAACATGATCTAAAAGGAGTGTTGAAGTATAGAATAGAACTTTGAATACTTCTCTGCTACAGACATGACAGACATCTTAGCAACGAATTATTACAAATTACAACAGACAAAATCATAGATACGTCAAAGATCGTATATTACTAACATCTCGTTATAATATATAAACTATTTTCTTACTACATTTCTGAAGCATTAAAGAAAAAGATAGTGAAGAAGAATCTGTCATGAAATAGATAGAATAAAACGGTCTTCCTATGATTAGTACTAACAATTGCATCACGTTTCATATTTTAATCCCGAAGAAAAAGTGCTATTTTTTTTTCTATGATATTTATGCGAGAATGCATTGTAACTTGATACTTTTCACACGCAATCTGCTAGATTTTCATTAAACTACTGAAGCAATATTTATTTGAATTATTTACATAAGAAGAATTCATTTTATATACATATTTTGCATATTTATATTAAATATTTTTATTTAGAATATATATATAAATAATGAGATGTATGTTCATGATATTTTAGATTTAAAGTAAATCAAAAAAAGAAGTTTATGCGATTTTTTTTTCAATATGAGTAAATTACTTGAACAAGTACTTCAAGCAAATATTTATCTACAACCATTACAATTATCTCTTGTTATGGTCATAAATATTCTTAATATATGTGTACTATGTTCTCGTGCTCTACGTTCATCATCATGCACACATTATTTCTTAGCTTATGCTATATTTAGTATTATTTATAGTTGTTTAGCATGTTTAACACAATTTTTACGTGGTTTTTCTATTGATTGGGCAAAGAACCAAATTGGATGCAAAATACATTTCTATATTTTATTTGTTGTTCCATTTCAAGCTAATCTAATGCTTGTCTTAGCTTCATTTGATCGTTATTGTTCTAGTTCAAAATCACATCGATTACATTCAAAAAGTACGATACAAACGCCAACAATAATTATTTTAATTGCTACTATAGTAGCTGCTATCTATATGTCACCGATGTTAGTTATTTATTATTGGAATGAAACTATAAGAACCTGCCATTTACATGCTAATATAACAATATATATTTATATATTCAGCCAAATATTTCTCTATTATATTTTAGCACCTCTATTAATGATTATATTTGGATTTCTAACGATATCTAACATCCGTCGACAATCAATGCGTTTAGTATATTTAACTGTATCTATGCGAAGACGTCGTACTGAAAGACAATTAACTCTAATGTTACTTCTTCAAGTAGGTGTTCATCTTATTCTTATTCTTCCATTTGGTGTTATCTATTGTATGAATTCATTGAAACCGTCGACAAGAACACCTGATATATTAGCAATACGGTATATACTATTAATGTGGCAACAACTAGATTATTTTATATCGTTTTTTCTTTATTTTCTTTCTGGAAGAGTTTATCGTGAACAACTTATTTTTTTATTGAAATTTAATAATTCTTATCATACATAACATTAAAAAGATATCATATAAAAGTTTAATGTGGTTTCAACTATTATCTTGTTAGCAAGCGAGATAAATGATTTATGTATTTGAGCTTATGAGAGTCGACCATTGTGTGGTACCTTTTATCATTCAATTTTATCTATAGATAAAAATATATACTTATCTATTTCAATGAGTAGTATCAGTTTGTAGTGGAACTGTCACTAGATTAATTGACAAGCTGAGTTAATATTATACTTATTTTGAATTTTTTCGATCGATGCTATTCTAGTTCACAATCATATCGACTTTGTTCAAAAACTGCAATTCAAGTAGCAAAAATGATTAGTCTTCTCGATATTTTATATTGTATCTATAATATATATTGCCTATGTATTAATCGTAAGTAGCTAAGAATATCTCATGTTTGTGTATTGCCAACTACAAGTTTCCGAAATTTAAAAAAAAAATTTTCTCAGTTTCATGAAATTTTGAAATGAAAACGGGAGAATGTAATATCAGAGAACGTGATAATTAGCAATTAGACAAGAGCATTTCTCAAAATTGATCCTTTATGTCGAGATCTTGCATGTTGATCAATATCCATATCTTTTGCTAAATTCTGTAGTGTTATATTATGATACGTCTAAGATTATTTATATTTTGATTAACTGACTGCATCAAATATCCATTGGCATAAGACTGCTTTGGTTGCATCAAGAACTGGTCACCGTACAGAACAACAATGAGCTCGAGTGCTGCTTCTTCAAGTTGGTGTTGATCTTATTTTTGCACTTTATTAACTCGTTTGACCGTTGTAAACAAAAACCAAAGCGTGATTGATGTATGTTTTAGTTTTGGTTTATAAAAACAATGTGGTTATTTCACAGCTAATATGAGAACTTAGTTAGATTTGGCGTGTCCGAAATAATTTTAAATAGCTGTCATAGAACAAAATTTATAATCAAGACGAACTAATTGATTTACACAGAAGTTCACAAAATAAAGTTGCATTAAACACAATAAATTTTGGAAAAATTCTTATGTCTTTTTCCGGATTTTTTTTTCTTTTGATAATATAAAAAAAAAGGAAATAAATCTTGAAATCTATACATTTCACTTTTTCTGATTGTTCTATTTCATTTCCTGTTAACTAGAAATAGAGATCGAGTGTGTCTTTTTTTTTGAGCCATTTTAGAGTTTTTTATGTATTGTCCTTAGTTTAAATCGATGCTATACTTACTTTTTTATATGATAAAATGTGTCATCTCTTTCCTTTTCGTCGTGATAATATTAATATGAACAGCAAAACCATCACAAACAAAAAGGCTAATTGATGTGTTATCAAAAGATCATATTCAAAATTTAGCAAGAACAACTATTCATCATATCCTGTTTTTAAGTTTCTGTCATTTTCCGGAGTTTTTAGATCCGAACCAGCCGTAATTCCTTTACCTACGGGGTATACGGAAAAGAAAAAATATTAAATTTAACTTTATGAGATTTTTCTTCTTTTTCTGTATTGTTTTTTCTTTCAATTTTTTAAATTAACAGTCCTGTTTACAATTTTATTTTTAGTCATCGATTTATTTCAATAATCAAAAATATATCCTATGATTTTACCTGATAATCATAATAATTTTTATCATGACTTGCTCATCATAAACGAAAGAAATTGATTTCGATTCATTTTCGTAAACTTATCATCAATGCAAATCAAAAAGCTCTGCTTGTCTATTGAATTAGTCCCATTAGTTCCGTGCAACTATACGAAAGCTATTTATACTTCTTTTATACAGGTAATCATTATTAGTAATATTCATGACTATCACACGGAAGAATTCAAGCATGATATATACTATGATCAATGTCAAAAAGGCTTTAAGGAATATGTCATTGATTTGAAATGAGTATGACGCATTTTTCTTCAAGCATAATCTGTAAACCAAAATTGTATTCATTAATTTTATTGATGTAAACTGATCTCAAACGAGGCAAAAGAAGATATTACTGATTGTCAAGTATATTTCTTGTCAAGAAATTTCAATTAGATATGAACCACTTCTTTAAGAATGTTCTTCAAGTGAATATCTATTTACATCAAATGCAAATTTTCTTTAAATTATTACAAATATACTTAACATATATCTATTATGTTCTCGTGCATTTCATTCATCATGCACACATTACTTTCTCACATATGCTATATTTAGTATCATGTCTACTTTTTTTATATGTCCGTTACGATTTTTACGTGTTTTTTAACATCGATTTGACAAATACTTCGGTCGAGCGTAAAATGCATACGTATTTTGCAGTTTTAGCAACATTTTAGCAAGAGTAATGCTTTTATTAATTTCATTTGCTCGCAACGGTTCAAATATTATCTATATATCTGAAATGATATCGAGTTTGCAACTGATAATATTTTTATCAAGCACAAGCTTATCATTCATGACTTTCAACAGTTTGAATTTCACTCAAGGACATGTTCTTCGAGTGACATTTAAGAGATATCTATTGACTTCACTCAAAAGTGAAGGAAAAAGAATAATCATGAATATTGAAAGGAAAGCTTCATTAAACAAGACGTTATTTATTTTTGTTTTCTAACATTGTTTGGACGAATTTTTCGACCTGAAGATGAGAACCAGACTCCTAACTTTTTGAGTCAGAGCGCATCTAAGGAAAACTCATATGGAGTTTTGGAAAAATTTTGAATCGTCTTATTAGATGTTCAACTTTACAATGAAGTATGAACGCATCGAAAGTTACAGCAATCATGAGTATTGTTGTATAAGCGTTGCAAGTGACCCATGACATCCATAGCGACTAGAGAGCTTTTTGTGTCCTCATAAAATCACACAAGTGTTATCAATTTGGGGTGGATGTGGGTGTGGGTGTTGGTGCGAGGTTTGGGTCAGTGTGATTATTGTCTTCACCGACACCCACACTCAAGCATCTATTTAATTTAAGTTATATTTTATTTTATTTTAGATAATATCATTGACCACTTCAAACAAAATAAGTATTTATTTAATTTGGATTGTCTATTTATTTTAATTTTAGATAATATCGACGATTAGACGAAACAAAGTAAATGTTTATTTAATAAACAATTAAATTTAACTTTAATTATTTATTTTATTTGATTCTTTCAGTGGATTTAAGATAAAAGAGCCCTTAAAGATGAAAGCCATATAAAGCGAAAGAGGAAAAAATGAGTTATACACCATTGTATGCAACTATAGAAGATCATATATAGATCTTGTAAGATCGTATAAGATTCCACTGTAAGATTATATAGAATCGTACAGTACGATTTTATCAGAAAAGTTGTCTTTAAGGTGGACATATAGAATCGTACAAGATCATATATGATTTTGATATGATCTTGTATGAACATGAAAGATCAGACGTACGTTCTTATATGATCTTGTAAGAATTGTATAAGATCATACAATAGGATTGTTTCAACTGAGTAAATTATTTTGTCAGGAAACCAAGGCTACGAATAGGGGTACTTTCTCTAACAATTTACTTAGTTCAGATATTGAACGTCCAATAATAGATGAAACCGTACGACAAAGATGATTCTAGCTAGACGAATCTCATATAATCATCGAACGTTGTGTCAAAGTATAAAATATATAAAATGCTTCATAAGCTTGGGGTCCATTTTGACTTTTAAAGATATATTTCGGGTATCACAAGCTTAGCAGACGTATTTTATTGAGCAGAATATTAAACTTGGTTTGAGTCTCAGTTTTTATATACTTAATCCTTTGAGGACATTGGAACATGTGTTGACCCACCTGTTGTACAGTAAAAAAAATGTATTCTGTCCTTTTAACTGTTATGATTTGTAAGATAATAGGGTATTTGATCTACTATCTCAAGCATTTCGTCTCTCTTTTTCTTTCTGTTATACAGATCCTTATCAGATGTTCTTCTGTCTTTCTGTTACTATAAACTGACGTCATGATATTTTCCTCTTTTCTCTTGAGGTAGTACCATAAGATTTTGATGTGATCATTTTGAGCTAAACACAATAAACTGAGTAAAGAACTTTTTTTTTAATTGAAAACGAAATCTCTTCCTCGAAAGGTTATGATAAAAAATATAATATAAACGGATAAAAAGAAACGATTTGATGGAACTATTTGAAATGGACTTCTAATAAAGCACTTTCTTATGAATAATGACAGTTGAGTTCAATAGATTTTAGACTATAATATAGATGTTCTTTGTTACATAGGTATGCTAAATCTCAGTCAGACTGTAGATATTGTAAAAATACAAAAAAAAAAATGAAATGAGTTGGAAATCTTTAGAATACTATATATATAATCAAAACTCATTCACAATATCTAACTAATGCTGTTACCTTTATCCTTATTTTTACTGACCTAAACGAAAAACTTAACAATGAAAACTCTATTCTGCTCTAAACAGTAAATAGACAGATGAAAGACTAGCATGATTGATAATGTTCGATTACTTCACATGTATCTGCGTTAACTGTACCAAAATAAAAAGTTTTGAATAAAAGCACCATTATTTAAACATTGACCTACAGAGAGTTGCTTGAAAGAGAGCCAGAATATGCTATGCACTATATTATTTTAAACAGATGACGACTCAAGAAAAATCAAAGCATACTATCAATAGATGTTAGGCGAATAAAGCTTATCGGGATATTTTTTTAATTTCAATGTCTCTATTATGAATTTAACGTTTACCTCGCTGGTCTGAGTAAAAGATGTTATTTCGAATATATTGCACAATTCTCCTTTGAATCATTAAAAAAACGTTATTATGCATGAGATTAGTGGAAAATATCATTTAACCTATGAAAACAGATCTGGAAAAATCTAGGTTTGAACAGATTTTTATTTTCAGTTCGCATGCTGTTTTCCTTAACAACGTAGGCAAATTATTCGAGAACGAATTTTTTTATAAAGCAACTTATTAGTATAAAACAAATATTTTCTTAGTCTTGTTTCTATCTGTTTATCCTACTCTGA